GTCTGTTGACTGACCTATGTATTTGTTCAAATAATTGTTATGGGCAGGTTACAATATAAAAAAATGTTTGTTATAATCATGTCTTGTGATTAATTGACAGGATGTTTTACTTTTAAACTTTAAGTGTATTTAATTTAGTTATAATGCAAATACAATACAAGTTAAACCAAGATGTAGAATAATTATCATTTTGTTTTGTTCATTGGTAATGTCTGACTGGGTCTCGTGCCACTTTATGTTCAATAAATTGGGCCCTGAGGTCAAAAAGGTTAAGAACCCCTGCTCTAAATCACACATGCATGATCTGATCTGAAACAAATTTAGGGAGACCTGCTCAACATGTTTGTTGGTCACTACTGAATGTTGACGGGGAATATCAGCTAGTTCTATCTTATTCTTGTTTTTAAAGACCTTCAGCTGAGGTTAGACACTCACCACAGTGAGGTACTGCAGCATCTGTCCATCGACTCTCCCATCGTTAAACTGGTCTTTGTACTGAGGAAGGCCGATGTCATCGAGCCAACCTGGAACAGAAGTTACACCATAATGCTGCTTAAAATAAGCCACAGAAAATGAAACCTTCAAAGCCATTTAAATTTACAGAAAACAGTTAAGATAAGTTTAAATCTGGATGAGTCTGCGTGAGATTTCGTACGAGTGACCCAGACGTAATCCAACTCTGCAGATTTCTCTGGCTGTTTGCTGCTGACGTTCTTCATGGAGAGTTGGAGCTTCTTCCTGTGGAGTGGATTCTTCATGGCCAGTTCCTGCAGATAAAAAAAATAAATAAAATGAGGCTATAGGAGGTTCACCTGAGAAGAAAACAAAGCCCTGTCAGGTTGGTTTATCTCATTAAAATGATGCTGCTGATGAGAGAGACGGAGGGCTTGTGGTGGTGGGAGGTGAGGGCGAAGCTAAAGAGCCGGTTGAAAGGCAGAGACAAGCGTCACTAAACACCAAACAGATGGAAGGACGGAGACAACGATCAGACAGGACGTTGGATGGAGGGGAAGCTCTGACTGTGCGTGTCTGAGACGGTGTTACGCATGTGTGTGTGTTCGTACCTTCTCCAGGTCGTGCGGGCTGGCTGACAGCATCGTCTGACCGCTGCTCACCCAGTTCCGAGCGAGGAAGCCATATTGGCCGAGTCCGATGTCCTCCAGCCAGTCACACACCTGATCTGTGCTCCACTTAGAAAACGGCAACTTTAGATCTCTGACGAGAGAAAAAATTAATTTAAATGAGACGCCTGAGCAACAACTTCTTTGTTTTTATTGTTGTAAATAACTTGTAAGCAAATGTATGGGTCAGGGGTGGAGCTAGACTTTTTTTTTTTTTTGCAGGGGATGGCCCATGAGTGACCAAAGTGTTTTTAAGGGGCACATACAAATAAAGAAAAGCACTCTAGATTTGAAAATTCAAGATGGCCACCACCGCTTATTCCAAATGGCTTTATTTAAGCTGTTTTAAGAAATACTGAGCTGCAGATTTGTGTTATCATAGCTAAGATTGATCCAAACAACATGCTGAATGCTAGTTGCTACTTATTCTTCAGCCATTTTCAGGCATACAGAGAAGATTAACGTAGATGTAGCCGAAAACAATCTCTACCAAATTCTAAATGCTAATCAGAAACTCAAGATGGCCGCCAAAGCCAACTTTAAAAAGCTAACATTCAGCCATTTTAAGACTTATTGAAATGAAGGCTGTGTCCAAAACAGCAGGACGGGTCCTCCGAAGGTCGAATTTGTCGGCCGCATACGTCACAGCGCCGCGACGAAGGACGTCCAAAACGGAAGACTCCTCCGATGCGTCCGACAAATACGTCCTTCTTTTTCCCCGAATCGAAGGACAGGTCTGATGGATCCTTCCCGGCCCAGCATATCCCATAATGCATTGCGGCCCGACCGGAGATTTTTTTAAGCTAGTTAATGGCGGACGAAGCGAGAGAAAAGAATACGTTTTAAATAAAAATATGATGATATAAAAATTTTAAAAAAATTAGCGGTTGTAATTCTAATACTTTTATCATTTGTATGAATATGTTTTTAAATATTATTTTTTCGTCATAAAAAACGCTAAATAAACATGAACCTACAGCGGGTCAATTAGTTC